CCATACCAATGACAGTTGAATTTGTTAAAGGAAACTGGGCAAAGATCAGTTTTAAAAGATGAGGCAGTACCCTCGTTCCTTCAGGGAAACTACCAGAACCAGGGATTGTGTCCTTAAACGTATAAAGCAAAAAAAGCAAAAAAAAAAAAACACACACACACAACGTAATGATCATTGATACCCAACACCTTTGTTTTATTTATTTTTTTATTTATTTTAATGTAGCTGGTAGAAACCAATTCTTAAGCTTACTCCTGTGAAACTATAAATTAGATACAGTGTCCTTAAACCTATAGATATAAAGCAAAAACAGTTATCATAACAAGGCCATGGCCACTAAAACAAATCAATGATATCCGACTACTTTTTTTAGCTGGTAGAAACCACTTCCTACGAACAGCGCGTTTTCCTTAACAACGTTTTAAGCTGCACCTGTGAAACTATTAACTAGATACTGTCTCCTTAAACGTATATGACAATAAATTTCACCTTAACACTCTTCGAAATAAAGTTTTATCCTTTTTCATTGTCATCTGGGGATGCGGATAACCGCAATAGCGCAGAGAAAAAAAAAAATGGGAAAAAACGGATTGTAACAAACACACAGAAAAAAAGAACAAATACATGTATCACAATGTCAAAATTAATTTGCGTTGATGGCAATTTCGGTGTTATGAGGGCCAAAANACACACACACACACACACAACGTAATGATCATTGATACCCAACACCTTTGTTTTATTTATTTATTTTTTTATTTATTTTTAATGTAACTGGTAGAAACCAATTCTTAAGCTTGCTCCTGTGAAACTATAAATTAGATATAGTGTCCTTAAACCTATAGATATAAAGCAAAAACAGTTATCATAACAAGGCCATGACCACTAAAACAAATCAATGATATCCGACTACTTTTTTTAGCTGGTAGAAACCACTTCCTGCGAACAGTGCGTTTTCCTTAACAACGTTTTAAGCTGCACCTGTGAAACTATTAACTAGATACTGTATCCTTAAACGTATATGACAATAAATTTCACCTTAACACTCTTCGAAATAAAGTTTTATCCTTTTTTATTGTCATCTGGGGATGCGGATAACCCCAATATCACAGAGAAAAAAAAAATGGGAAAAAACGGATTGTAACAAACACACAGAAAAAAAGAACAAATACATGTATCACAATGTCAAAACTAATTTGCGTAGATGGCAATTTCGTTGTCATGAGGGCTAAAAAAACAAAAGCAAAACAAAAACAAACAAAAATGATAGAAATATTGCAATTTAAGTTAACCCATCACCCACCCCTTGCTAAAAATGAAAAATGACTATGTGAAAATGTTAATTCTATCCTCCTTGAAGTTGTCACAAATTAATTTCACACAAATATACTTTGCGCCTTTAAGACTCCTATCAAACATACCAAAGAAAATCTCGATTTGAACAAAGCGCAATTTGAAAAAATAATTATCGAAAGCTTTCAAATATGCCTCAATTTTGGTATGTTAGTCTCCTACGAATCCTGTGACTCAAGTTAAAATAAGTTGAGTCGACAGTTTTCTAAGCCAAGACGGGAAGATGCGAGCAATTACTATTTTCCTTCCTTTTGTAAATGCATCGCGTAATGAAAATTAACAAAACTCAGATTCCTTAAACTACATAACATGACCTCGTCGTCTATCTTATCAGTGGCATGGGTTTACCGCGAAAACATAATCTTGAAAAGACCTTACACACAGACAAAAGAAACAGTAATAATAATCGCGTTTTGTTCAAATCGAATTTTTTAAAGTTTGTTTGGGTGATCTGTAGATCACGAGGAGAATAAAAAGAGTTTTTGGCCTTTAAATTACCCTCTAAATATATCTCTTACGATATATTTACCAATTATCGTGACTACGCAAAGTAGTTATTTGGCGAAGAGGGTCGTATGATTCTATAAGTGTTCACCCTAAAATCTCATGATATCCAAAAGCACCTTAAGCCCTAAATCCGTACAAATCTTAAGTAGCAAAGCAACTTTTGGTCATCGGCGACTGGTCAAGGGATTGTGAGGAGCACCAGCTGAGGATATCTGCGAAATTACTTGACATAATCTATAGCGGTTAAACGGACTATGCACATGCAGTTTCCAGCTTTCCTACTTATAAACGTCTCAGTTTACTGAGATCCTCAACTATGAAGTCAATGATTAAGAAAGTCAAGTCCTAAAGACAATTTATGGGGCTGTTCCCTCGTTTTCTCTTGTGTTACCCAACTAATCATCCTACTGTATTAATAAAAACAAGGCCGAAAACAATCGCTGTATATATCTTCTGTAGATGAGAGTTAATTGTACGAATAGTATAAACTGAATCAAACTGAAATTTAGACCAACCTCTAGTTACTGTAGTGATATATATGTTGCTAAATTAGATAATCAACCAAAAGGGACCAGATACTACATGATTAAACCATTTTTTACGCAGAGTTTTTAGCAGTCTAGGCGTTACAAACAACGCTTGCATCCTCGCCATGACCACAGTCGTGCGATCCCCAACCAGCATGAGTACATGCAAATAGCGAAGACTCGCCTCCTTGACAGGCTACTTCATCCATCCAGATTGGATCTGATCCCTGACCATATGCTGCCCTACCAGGAGCGGAGGACGCGCTGGAGAAGCCAAGTTGACGACACACCACATTTGCGTCATTCATATCCCACCTATCATCACACACTGTGCCCCATTGACCGTTATAATAAACTTCAACCCGACCAGACTTACTTCCACCGCCTGCCAAGCGAACCACAGGAAAGCCGTAAGAGCACCTTACACTGGCGTCATTACTATGGGTACAATCATTGTTTCCCCATCCACGGTGACTGCAGTCATAGATATGTGACTCGCTCCCTGAGCATGCTACGTCATCCATCCATATGGGACCGGTTCCCTGACCATGAGTTGCGCCACTGTACGCGTGCGAGGCTTGTAGGAAACCAAGCTGCTTGCACAGCACGTTGGCGTCATTTATATCCCAACCATGATCACATATAGTGCCCCACTGATCGTTGTAGAAGATTTCGACTCTACCGGTTAACAAAGTACTCCCATTGATACGAACGCTTCCTTCTGAAATAACTATTGAGTGAAATGTTTCAAAACGTAAATTATCATGAAGATAAGTATAATTGCATATTTCATTTAGAAATAAACAAATAAGCGAATACGTAAACAACACTTACAGTTCGAACAATAGAGTAATAAGACCTAAGCAAAATGCGAGAATAAATTGACATGTTATATAAATAGCCACAATGACCACATCTTCGTATTAATAAGTTTAATTTGTGATAAGTTTAGTTTTGTCAAAATACTTATTTGTTCAAATTTTTATATCTGGTTTCTCAATGGAAATTTTGACTGTCATTTGATCATAAGAATGTTCTTGCATAACATCATACCTCGGTAATGTGCGCGAAATCCACGATACGTTCTTGAGCCATCAGATATAAACCTCACGTAAAGATTTCTGGATGAACTTTGAACGGGTGAAGGGAGAGAAGATCAGCTAAATATACCAATCAGAGGAGACGAAGACGATCCACCATCGTAAACTNCGCTCCCTGAGCATGCTACGTCATCCATCCATATGGGACCGGTTCCCTGTCCATGAGTTGCGCCACTGTATACGTGCGAGGCCTGTGGGAAACCAAGCTGCTTGCACAGCACGTTGGCGTCATTTATATCCCAACTATGATCACATATAGTGCCCCACTGATCGTTGTAGAAGATTTCGACTCTACCGGTTGATAAAGTACTTCCACTGATACGGACGCTTCCTTGTGAAATAACTATTGAGTAAAATGTTTTAAAATGTAAATTATCATGGAGGTAAATGTAATTGCATATTTAATTTAGAAACAAACAAATAAGCGAATATATAAATAACACTTACAGTTCGAACAATAGAGTAATAAGAACTAAACAAAATGCGAGAATAATTTGACATATTATATAAATAGCCACTATGACCGCACCTTCGCACTAACAAGTTTAGTATGTGATAAGTTTAGTTTTGAAAAAATACTTCCGTGTTCAAGTTTTTGTATCTGGTTCCTTAATAAAAATTTTGACTGTCACTTCCTAATAAGGATGTTCTTGCATAACATCATACCTCGGTAATGTGCGAGAAATCCTTGATAAGTTCCTGAGCCATCAGATGTAAACCTCACGTAAAGATTTCTGGATGAACTTTGAACGGGTGAAGGGAGAGAAGATCCGCTAANTATGGGTACAAGCATTGTTTCCCCATCCACGGTGACTGCAGTCATAGATATGTGACTCGCTCCCTGAGCAAGCTACGTCATCCATCCATATGGGGCCGGTTCCCTGACCATGAGTTGCGCCACTGTACGCGTGCGAGGCTTGTGGGAAACCAAGCTGCTTGCACAGCACGTTGGCGTCATTTATATCCCAACCATGATCACATATAGTGCCCCACTGATCGTTGTAGAAGATTTCGACTCTACCGGTTGATAAAGTACTTCCACTGATACGGACGCTTCCTTGTGAAATAACTATTGAGTAAAATGTTTCAAAATGTAAGTTATCATGAAGATAAATATAATTGCATATTTAATTTAGAAATAAACAAATAAGCGAATATATAAATAACACTTACAGTTCGCACAATAGAGTAATAAGAACTAAACAAAATGCGAGAGTAATTTGACATATTACATAAATAGCCTCAATGACCACATCTTCGTACTAACAAGTTTAGTATGTGATAAGTTTAGTTTGACAAAATACTTTCTTGTTCAAGTTTTTATATCTGGTTCTTTAATAAAATTTTTGACTGTCACTTCATAATAAGGATGTTCTTGCATATCAACGTACCTCGGTAATGTGCGAGAAATCCTTGATAAGTTCCTGAGCCATCAGATGTAAACCTCACGTAAAGATTTCTGGATGAACTTTGAACGGCTGAAGGGAGAGAAGATCCGCTAAATGTACCAATCAGAGGAGAGGAAGACGATCCACCGTCGTAAACTGTTACGAAATCAGCGGACGGTTGAGTGTTAAAACGAAGAAAAGTAAGTTCAATCGCTGCATTTGAACTTAAATTCCACCGGCAATCCAGGTTATTGCTGTAAGACCCAGACAGTAGATTCGACTTGATCTGTCCATCTGTGTTAGTTTGACTCGTCAACAAATTTGCACAGGAGCTTGTTGCACTTACAAACGGTGCTGTCAAATAAAAACAAAACAAGGTTACAAGAACTTAATCGAAGTAAGTAACATTTAAAAGCAACTATCGTATTACTGATTTCAGCTTTAAAGTTACGCAAAGAACGTTCTTCACTTTTTAAGAGTGACTGTCCATAAAAATCGACCAAAATCGACTTTTGGTGGCACAGGTCGAACAATCGATTTCACTCATACTTTGCCCATAGATAGGCCCTATAATAAGAATACAAACGGACTAAAGTTAGTTTTTTCTAATACAGCTTTGTTTGGTATAATTTTGCACAAAAATCAATTTTGCCCTGATTGGACTCAAAATCTACTTCTGGTTATGCTGAATCTTCTTGATATGATCACGTGGCGCACCACACAACACCTATTTGGGATTCTTTCAATGATTTTTTATATATTAACAATGATAATAAAGGGGTATTCTAAAACAACAAAAGAATGTAGACATAATAATAACTATGAGAAACGAATAATTATCATGCCAAAGTGGAAATTTGGAAACACGAATATCAATAAAACAACTAGAATATTATCATCGAGAATTTTGGACAAACAGTTATTAGTCGCTCACTTAATAATTTGCTTAATGTTGTATCTCCTAGCTATTTGGTTGATAGGCCATACTATCACTCTCACTCTGGATCTTTGAGATCTATCACCAATGAACTCAACCTCGTTCCCAGAGTCTTCGTTCCCCTTGACCAGCGGTCGGAAAACGAAAGCTCTGGGAGCAACCATTTTGAAATAACCGAATTCTGCCCATCTGGTTTCACTGCACAGTCTGCACCTGTGGCGCGCGCCTGAAATGGTTGCTCCTAGAGGTCTCGTTTTCCGACCGCTGGGCAAGGGGAACGAAGACTGCCACTTGCCTTGTGCAAGTCGAACTCTATTGAGAGTTTCAAAAGGAGCCTTAAAACATACTTTTTGAACTATTTGAGGACAGTTACTCATTGGTTTTGTAGACATTGTTAATTTTATACGAAATGTACTTATTCTTGTTGTATATAGATTTTATTTCTGATTGTATAGTTTTATACATTTCTTTGAAAGCGCCATGAACGCAGGAATAGCGCTATATCAATGACGTTAAGAAAAGAATTAAACAATGACAAACAATGAAGTTATAAATTAATAAAGATGGTGAATTTTAAGCTCGGTAATGAAATGTGAAGGTGAATTAATCAACATGACACGAGCGTGGGACAAAGAAAAATTCTGAGTC